AGAGAGAGAGATAGATAGAGAGATAGATAGAGAGAGAGAGAGAGAGATAGATAGACTTGTGTTTTGTTTAGGTACAAATCTCTCTCTAACACCAAGCGTTTAAATCAGCACTGGTAGCGATATTTTATACTTCATGCTATCTGCACAAACTATATCATATGAGAGTCCTCAGATTCTATTGGTATAAATGGCCAGGCCCTGTGCGATCAAAACTCACTGTTCTGTATGATAAATAAAAGAACATTGTACCTTGAAATCAATAGCGGGTAAATTTGACTCGTTGGCGGTTGGTTTAGGTATTAGAGCGACCTCTTGGCGGTTCTAGTGTTAACTTAATAGTCTTGTTTTGTCAGTCCAAAACCCAAAGATGTATAAAAACAGAGAATTATATATATTTTTGAGGCTGAAAACAGCATTTCTTTTCTTTAACGATCAATGGTTATCAAACCGTTTGGCCTTTTTTTAAATGCAAACCGGTCCAATTGCTTCCTCTGCCTCTCGCTGCAGCTCTAACAATAACTCTCAGAGTTTCTCTATGCGTGTTATTTCTCATCTTAAGACCTTGGTAGCGACATGAAGGTTTCAAAGAATTCCCAGGCTTTATTTGTCATGTTCACAATAGCTATAGCTCAATAATAATAATACATTTTATTTGTCGGCGCCCTTGCCAGGCACCCAAGGTCGCCTTACAGAGAATAAAAGAAATAATCTAATGGTGGAAAACAGCTAAACATAAAAACCACATACAGAGCTGACAGACGAGGAGACAATACATGAAAAAGTGTTTGGTGTATGGAAAGTTCTGACGTCATCACAAATCTGGGTCGTGTAGGTTTAGATATGGAAATCTTGAGCTTCTCCCACAATGTAAAAACACAATGTAACATAAAAGAAACATCATACGTTTTCTCTCACTGATTGTCCCCTTATGTTAAATGTTTGTATGTTAAAGTGTGGGGGGGAGGGGGTTGTTGATCAGAGTTTGAAAGCTCGAGTGAATAAGTGAGTTTTGAAGTGAAAGTTCTGACGTCTACACGATGCACATCAGGGTTGCGTAGTTTTCCCCCCGGGGACATGGTGCCGTTGTGATGTTGCTGTGTTGAAGTGTTTCTGCTGATCACATATTAATAAGAAGGGTTCCTGAACACCTCACAATATCAGAGTGGATGGATACTCTAAATGAATTCTTAGTGTTGGGATAAGGGAGGTTCACAACAACAACAAAAATGATACAACACAGATGTAGTCAGCTTGGGGCATTTTGATGTGGAAATGTTGCACATGAAATCTTTAAAAGAAGCTTAGGAATAAATCATTTTAATTGAATGTTCGGCAACCGTAAGGCGTACAGGTTAGTAGTACCCAAAAGAAGACTGTTGTATAAGACTAAATGTTTTCTTATGTTTTGGATATGGAAATCTTGCGTCTTAGGCTTCTCTAAGAATGTAAAAACACAATATAACATAAAAGAAACACAAAAAGGTAAAAGCAAGAGACAAATGGCTGAAGTTGGTACCTGGTAGACTCCCCCCGGGGACATGGTGCCGTTGTGGATCCCCAGGAAGGGTCTGACGGCCTCCTGGCACCGGGTCCAGTCCCCCTGCCCTCTGAGGCTCAGGGTCCGGTTCTCTCTCACCACGCTGTCCTGCAGACTGAGCGGCAGACACGGGTCCAGGTACGGCTTGTCCTCACTCAGACCCAGCTGCGTGGTCAGGAGCCTGGAGACAAACATTTCATATTAAGGACGAACATTTATTATTTATTTGTTTATTATTTGTTTATTAGTTTGTTTATTAGTTTGTTTATTCCACACATTGCAGTTATTTTAAAACAAAACATGTACACTTATAGAGAGGCGAAGTCCCTCCCTTCCCGGGGAGCTCCATGGGACCTTATTTCGGAAAAAGTATGTATTGAAGTCAATGGGGAGAGAAAGATTATCTCTCGATCCCGTTTGAATTGTGCCACGAATTACACATATGATGTTTGTCAATCTTAACAAATAATTTCCATGTCAAAAAAGTCACAGATTGTCTTAAAACTGTTGAAATATAAGACTATGAAAAATACGCAACTACAAAGACTACAAATCCCAGAGTCCCGGTCCCGCATGCTGGCTCTTAGGAACCGACTAACTCCCCTTGTGTGTTTTTTTTTTTTTTTATTATTTAACCTTTATTTAACCAGATAAAAAACATTGAGATAAAATCTCATTTTCAATGCTGACCTGGCCAAGAAGGCAGCAACGTTACACATAACACATAACACAAACATATAAAATACAGAGAACATAAAGAAAACAAAAGACGAAAAAGCAGTCACTACATTGTGCACATTAGGACAATAAAAAAAGTACACTACTTGTTACTGCAAGAGCAGCTGGTGGTGAGGACTTCAGACAACTTCAATTTAAAACATGAAATAGAGACAAGTGCCCTCAGTTTAAGGCGTGATTGAAGGTCATTCCAAGACCAAGGACCATAATAAGAAAGACTCCTTTTTCCAGCCTCAGTCCGTACAGTAGGAACCTGGAACCGTATCTAGGCACTGGATCTGAGGTTGTAAGAGTCACAAACTGGAGCAAATCTGACACATATGTAGAGTGGAAGCTTACCTAAAATGGCTTGATACATTAATAAAAACCAGTGCTGCATCCTACGCATAGTAAGTGAGGACCATCCAGTTAGGCTATACAATGTGCAATGATGAGTCCTATAGGGTGCATTTGATATATAACGCAGTGCAGCATGGTAAAGTGGGTCAAGTTTGGCCAAAACAGTGGGACAGGCAAATCTATAAATGGTATCACCGTAGTCCAGCTGGGACAGGAATAAGCCAGAGACCAACCTTTTACGGGATGAAATTGAAAAACAACATTTAAATCTGAAAAGGAAGCCAAGAGTGAATTTCAATTTCTTTGTTAAAACTTCAATATGGTGTTTAAAGTTCAGATTACTGTCCAACCAAAAGCCCAGATATTTGTAGGTATCAACAAACTCAACAGAAACGCCATCAAGGGTGTCAATGGAGAGGCAAGAGGAGGACGCTGACTTGGGAGCAAAAAGCATTGCTTTGGTTTTCTTACTGTTCAATAGCAGTTTAGAATCAAGAAGCGCATGCTGCAGCGTGATAAAATCTGATTTTAAATTGGAAACGGCCATATCCAGAGACGGAGCACACGAGTATACAATAGTGTCATCAGCATACATATGATAGGTAGAAAATTGCATCTGATTACAAATAGTGTTTACATATAATGAAAAGAGCAAGGGCCCCAAGATAGAGCCCTGTGGAACTCCCTTCTCCAAGGTGACAGGGTCAGAGACAGTACTACCCAACCTGACGCATTGAGTACGGTCGGTTAGATAACTCTGAAACCAGCAAATGGCATTGTGACCGAAACGAGACACCAACATAACATTAGACATAATGTGGTGATCTACAGTGTCAAATGCTTTGGCTAGGTCAATAAACAATGCAACACAAACTGATTTCTTATCCAAAGCAGCCTTAATATCGTCTAAGACTTTCAGACTGGCAGTCACAGTACTGTGCTTTGATCTGAATCCAGATTGCATAGGGTTAAGGATGTTGTGTGAATTTAAAAAAAAGTTTTAGCTGAGTAGAAACAAGGGACTCAAGAATCTTTGATAACACAGAAAGATTTGAGATAGGACGATAGTTATTCAACTCCGTGGGATCACCATCTTTCAAGAGGGGCGATACCAGAGCTTGCTTCCACACAGCTGGCAGTGTGTGAGTGGACAGGGAGAGATTAAAAATATCAGTTACTGGTTGTGCTATCATCTGAGCTGCAATTTTTAAAAAGAACGGGTCAAGGCCGTCAGGCCCAGCAGACTTTTTAGGATCAATCGAGTGCAAACCCTGTAAGACTTCAGAGACCGAGAAATAAGCTAAATCAAAAACAGGGGAGTTCATCTCTTGACTATGGCTGTGAGTACGACCATTTAGAGAGTCATGACTTTGCTCATCAAAAATGTGACCAGCCTTTTTGAAGTGAGCATTAAAGGCATTAGACATACCATCTGAATCTGAAATAAAAGAATCACTGACCTTCAGTTTTTGTGGGAAACTAGAAACCTTCTTGTTCTGAAGTGATTTAATTGTTTTCCAGAATTTAGAATGGTCATTAAAACAATCAGTGGTTAAGCTCAGATAGTAATCAGCTTTAGCTTTTTTAATAAGGGCAGAACATTTATTTCTGAGGACACGAAAAAGAAGCCAGTCATCACTAGTGTTAGACTTTCTAGCTAAGGACCATTGCTTATTTCGATCATGAATGAGATCAGATAGTTCTCTAGTAAACCATGGAGTGTTCCTATTCTTAACTCTGAATTTTCTAAGGGGGGCATGTCTATTAATAATCGATAAAAAGTGATCAATAAAAAATTGGAAGGCAACATCAACAGATGGAATTAACGCTGTGAAGTGCCATTTAACCTCCGCCAGATCGTGTAGGAAAGCCTGCTCAGAGAAGTGTTTGAAGCAGCGCCTGAGCACAATAAGGCCCTTGGCTTTGGGCAACTTAGTGCTCCTAACGCAAGCGATAGTGCAATGGTCACTGATATCATTAGGAAAAACACCAACAGACACATACTTATGAGCTGCATTTGTTAGAATGACATCTATAAGGGTATCGTTATTGGGTTTGGCAGGGTTTATTCTAGTGGGACTATCAATAAGCTGAGTTAAGTTCAAAGAATCACAAACCTGCTTAAACTGTGAGGATTTATCACTTAACCAGTCCCAATTTAAATCACCCAATAAAATGATTTCAGAAGAAAACTTAGACAACAATTCAGTAAGGCTAGTAGTTGCATCCATGATGGCCGATGGAGGCCTATAACAGCCAATAACAGTGAGAGGAGCATTTGCTATAGTTATTTGGACTGCTAGCAACTCAAATTGCCTTGGAATTGAAATTGAGTGAAGGACAGAGCACTGTAGTTTCTCAGCAATGTATATTGCAACACCACCAGCTCTGCCCTTACGATCAGCTCTGAATACATTATATCCATCAATCTGAATAACAGTGTCAGTGACAGAGGGTTTTAACCAGGTTTCAGAAACTACAACAATATCAGGCTTAGCAACTAAAAACCAGGTCTTGAAAACATCTAATTTGGGCACTAGGCTTCTAACATTAACATGCAGAAAACCCAATCCTTGCCTACAGCTAAACTCTGTATGTACAGCTCTCAACATGCCCAGACTTGGAGTGATTTTCACCTCTTTTAATACTTTCCGCCTCATTCTGAAAGAAAGAAGTGAAATGTGCCAACGTGACGGCCGTCTTGGTGTGTGGTGCGAGACGGGAGATGTAGTTCATTGAGCGGTTTCACACAAAAAAAGTGTTACTTCACAGTTTTACGACACGTTTTTATTTTTTTGACTTGCAAAATTATCTTTTAAATTATCAAACATCATATGTGTAATTCGTGGCACAATTCAAACGGGATCAAAAGATAATCTTTCTCTCTCCATTGACTTCAATACATAATTTTTCCAAAATAAGGTCCCATGGAGGTCCCCGGGAAAGGGAGGGACTTCGCCTCTCTATAGTGGCTGTATTTATTTTATTTATTTGTTTATAGCGCATGGTGGAAAGGAGCAGGGAGCAGAAAATAAAAGCCATATTCATTCAGTCACAGCTGCTTACAAATACTGAAACATAAAACCAGAACACAATCAAAAGTCGACTTCATACTGTCTAATTACGCTTTCTTTATACATTTTCTTAAACATAAAATGTTCTTCCAGCCCTTTAATTCATTCGGTAAATAATGCCAAGAGACACACATCTGCTTTAAAGTAGCACGTGCAAACTGATGCTGAACATTTAATTTCCTCCTATGATGCTCATACTCTGAAATTAAAACTAATTTATTTTGTATATGTTCTGGCAGTATTCTGTTTTTTGCTTTATGCATAACTAAAGCCGTCTGCAAGTCTATTCAATCTTAACATTTTAACAGCCTTGACTTGATTTATAGTGCCTAAATAGATTTCTGATCTTCTGCCAGAGTCAGAACTAAACCTGGAGAGACAGCGTTTAGTTATATGGACCGAACTCCCAGAAAATCACAACAAAAAAGGAACTTGTTCTTCGTTAGTCACATATACGCCGACTTTGAAACATCAGTTTTTGAGTTCAATTCGTTTAACCTTTATTTAACCAGATAAGACCAATAGAGATATTTTGTAATCGAGACAAGAAGGCATCAAAGTCACACACACACATAAACAGTAGAATGCAAAACAGTTCATACAACGAAACTACTGTCCATGCATCAAGAGAAATATGCATGACTGAAACTGACAAGACATGCCATCATCACTATGCATTGAAACAAGAGTTTCTGTTCTCCTTTGTACTGTGTCTGAAATGGAAAATACATTTCTGATCTTCTGCCAGAGTCAAAACTAAACATGGATACGCAGCGTTTAGTTATTATGCTTCATATGGACCAAACTCCAAGAAAATCGCAACTCTCACTTATTTTAAAGGTCACCTATCATGCTATTTCTAGGCAATAGCATAGGTCTCAGATATATACAAATATATAAAAAACTATGAAGTGTTTTGCTCAAAATACCAAACAGATCACCCATTCTAGCCATGCCTCATATCCCTCTATCTCACTTCCTGTTTCAAAAGTGCTGATTTGGGGTATAAAGCTTGATGAAAAAAATTGATAAGAAATAAAAAGGAGGGGTCTGAGCTCATGCGGGACCCGGCAGCTACTGTCTAAACTAAATACTGCCGTGATGAAACGCCATATCATGGATTATCAAGGATTGTTTCTGAAACAGTATGGAGCTCAAAGGCTTTCTCTCTTGCCGGTTATACCACAAGGTGAGTTCCTTTTTATTTCCTGCTTCTTCACACACATGCTCTCCAGTACAGGTTAGCTCTGAGTGTTAGCGATGCTAATGTAAACACCGACCATATTACGTCCAAAACAGTCGGGCATTGTTTCTGATAGCAACGTTTCTGATAGGGCCGTGGGTCCACATTTCAGATATTACGTCATATCGGACGCAAATCTGGATCAGCTCCGTTGTAGCCCCGTTTTTAGAGATTTGGGTACGGAGGAAAAGAGAGAGGGTTTTATTTTCTGACGCTGCGTGAGTTCCCTGACACACGGGGACACATCTTTATGTATAAAGACATCAAAAAGTGCATTTTGCATGATAGGTCCCCTTTAAAGCAAGACTGAAGACTTATCCTAAATCCAAAGACTTTTGCATGTCCTACACTGCTCTGTAAGTTTGTTCTTAATTACGAGCGTCTGTCGCACTATCCTAATGCTATTAATGTTTTTTATGAAGCACTTTGAAAGGCCTTGTGTCAAAGTGTGCTTTATAAATAAACCTGCCTTGCCGTACAGTCAATGTGTGGCCTCATTTGAGATCATAATCATAAGAGGAGATATGAATAGACCAGCAGACAGGGGGACAGTTTTATCCCACAGAATAAATGAACAGCTAAATATTTGAGCGATAGACCTGGGAGTTAGTCAAATCAATGTCTGTTGTTAATTGGTGGAAAGGTTGGTTTTCTTTGGTGATGTCTAACACTTAGGCTCAGTTGTCAAGTCTAGTGGTAATTGTTGAAATTCACTTTTTACATAAAAGTCTTAGCCTTAAATCCAAAAGCACTTTTTTTTTGTTTACTTGAAATAATTTCTGACAGGAAAAAAGACCCAGTTTCTAAACCAATTTGAGTGTCTTGCATGTAGGTGTCTGTCTGTCTGTCTGTCTGTGTACCTGTTCTTGGTGAAGGTGTTGTTGAGCAGCTGTCTGTGTGTGTGTGTGTGTGTGTGTGTGTGTGTGTGTACCTGTTCTTGGTGAAGGTGTTGTTGAGCAGCTGTCTGTGTGTGTGTGTGTGTGTGTGTGTGTGTGTACCTGTTCTTGGTGAAGGTGTTGTTGAGCAGCTGTCTGTGTGTGTGTGTGTGTGTGTGTGTGTGTACCTGTTCTTGGTGAAGGTGTTGTTGAGCAGCTGTGTGTGTGTGTGTGTGTGTGTCTGTTCTTGGTGAAGGTGTTGTTGAGCAGCTGTGTGTGTGTGTGTACCTGTTCTTGGTGAAGGTGTTGTTGAGCAGCTGTCTGTCTGTGTGTGTGTGTGTGTGTGTGTGTGTGTCTGTTCTTGGTGAAGGTGTTGTTGAGCAGCTGTGTGTGTGTGTGTGTGTGTGTGTGTGTGTGTGTGTGTGTGTGTGTGTGTGTGTGTGTGTGTGTGTGTGTGTGTGTGTGTGTGTGTGTGTGTGTGTGTGTGTGTGTGTGTGTGTGTACCTGTTCTTGGTGAAGGTGTTGTTGAGCAGCTGCTCCTCATAGCGCTGTCGGGCCATGTTTCCTCCAAAGCCCAGGAAGGTGGTGACGTAGACTCTGTAGACGTGCTGCGTGTGCTCCACGTCACAGCCCAGGTTAAACTCCGCCAACACACTCTTCCCCGCCTCCTCCTGAACACACAAAACATTGTCAATACCTGTATGTTGCCGTCCATCTGTTCCTAACATCTACTTCTACCGGATTTAAAAACAGTCAGAGTTGCAGCGGACCTGCAGGTTTCTGGTTGTTTGTTCCAGATATTTGGAGCATAATAACTGAACGCTGCTTCACCATGTTTAGTTGCGGGCCACATTCAAATTCAAATTCAAAGGTGTCATTGTCATATGCACAAAGCTACAGTGTAGAGATGGCAATGACATTCTTCTGACCTGAGCTCCTCCAACAATGCAACATATATAATAAAATACAAAAATACAAACAAAGTCTATAGACATGTAAATAGAATAGGATATGTACAAGAACAGAATATGAAATGAAATAATGTACATTACGACTAAATTAAATACGGTTTATTGCGGTGATAACTATTTATAGTAACATCTAATGTGAAAACAAATGTTTGTGACAGTTTGTCGCACAAGAACAAGACATGTTATGCCTCTGCGATGGGTATTTTTAATTAATGAATTAAGTTGAACGGACAAAATGACTAATTAGGTGCACAGATGAAGCCAAAATTAATTTAAACACAATCAGCAGCCGTTATAACTTACTTTATATTTAATTGTTGTTATTGTTCATTTGTTAATTCAACATGTATATTTTCTACTTTCTTGTTTATTTCTTGTCTCATCATGAGCCCTCCTCCAGTAACAGATCTTACTTCCTGTGGAGAGCTGAAGGTGATGGCGCTCGGCACCTCGTAGGCGATCTGCAGTGAAGCCCCGCCCATATCCATGATGCCCACTGTGCGCCGCCTGCTGATTGGCTGCTGGTTCTGAGAGCCTGTCGTCACCTCCACTGTGGCTTCCTCTGAGAAACAGGAAGCAGATCTCATGTTATCATCTGATTCTGGGAACTGTGACCCGAACAAAATTAGAAAAGAAAAGAAAAACGGAAAAATACACAGGGGTTGTTTGAAATGACAAATATCTACACATCATGTACACATGTATAAACTTAAACACACACACACACATAATACCCATGTACATCAACATACATACATACTCACACATAATACCCATGTACATCAACATACATACATACTCACACATACATACACACACACACACATAATACCCATGTACATCAACATACATACATACTCACACATACATACACACACACACATAATACCCATGTACATCAACATACATACATACTCACACATACATACACACACACACACATAATACCCATGTACATCAACATACATACATACTCACACATACATACACACACACACATAATACCCATGTACATCAACATACATACACACACATAATACCCATGTACATCAACATACATACACACACATAATACCCATGTACATCAACATACATACATACACACACACACACACATAATACCCATGTACATCAACATACATACACACACACACACACACATAATACCCATGTACATCAACATACATACATACACACACACACACACACACATAATACCCATGTACATCAACATACATACATACACACACACACACATAATACCCATGTACATCAACATACATACATACATACTCACACATAATACCCATGTACATCAACATACATACATACATACTCACACATAATACCCATGTACATCAACATACATACACACACACATAATACCCATGTACATCAACATACATACATACATACTCACACATACATATACATACACACACACATACATATACATTCAATCTGTGTATAGAAACAAAGTCAAACAAGAGATGGTCATGTCACTATTTCCATCCTATTTTATTTGTATTTACTTGCACTATTGTATCTGTGTTATTGTGTTGCATGTTGGAGGAGCCTGTGACCTAAGATTTTCATTGATATATCGTAGCTATGTACACATGACAATGAAAGCCTTGAATCTTGTTAGCAGCTTCACACTCACCATCATCAGCGTGATCGAAGCGGCCCAACACAAAGTTTATCCCGATCCAAGCATACACTCCTGCAGGGACACAAAACAGGCAGGAAGTGGTTAGAAAGACATGGTTTTAAGGTTGCATTCTCTTAATTTAGTTAATAAAACTAAACCCAGTAGCAGCAAACATCATCAGTAAGCAAGCTGCTCACCTTCCTGTTTCCCAGAGATGACCTCAGCATGAGAGCTGGAGAACAGGAAGTCGAAATCCAGAGGAACGTCAGTGATCAGATCCTCCAAGATGGCCGTCTGCAGGCTGCACACAGAGGAGCAAGAAATATAAAATAAATACAGAGGGATGGATCAAAACAGGCAATATGACTACAGTCCATTTTGTTACTTAAAGGTGGGGTAGGTAAGAATGGAGAAACCAGCTCGAGTGCGCTAGAATTTGAAAATACACAACCGGAAAAAAACTGCCCCTTCCTTCAGAGCCCCTCCTCCAACACACACGAACGTGCACATGACCAATGAGGGCACGAGATAAGTTTGTGCACAGATGGAAGGCTGACAGGCAGGTAGGCCATCCAGTTATTTTAGCCGGGCCGGCTCAGATGATTGGTCGTGCTTTTTACAGCGCCACGGCTTCCACAGATGACATTTTTGTATGTATTTATTGTCAAAGCATTTAATATATTCATTGCTATCGGGATGTTAAGAGCATTCCATGGAATATAACAAGTGTTTCTGAAGTGAATTACCTACCCCATCTTTAAAGGTCACCTATCATGCTATTTCTAGGCAATAGCATAGGCCTCAGATATATACAAATATATAAAAAACATGTCTATGAAGTGTTTTGCTCAAAATACCAAACAGATCAGCCATTCTAGCCATGCCTCATATCCCTCTATTTCACTTCCTGTTTCAAAAGTGCTGATTCTGGGTATAAAGCTTTAAAAAATAAAAAAGGAGGGGGCTGAGCTCATGCGGGACCCGGCAGCTACTGTCTAAACTAAATACTGCCGTGATGAAACGCCATATCATGGATTATCAAGGATTCTTTCTGAAACAGTATGGAGCTCAAAGGCTTTCTCTCTTGCCGGTTATACCACAAGGTGAGTTCCTTTTTATTTCCTGCTTCTTCACACACATGCTCTCCAGTACAGGTTAGCTCTGAGTGTTAGCCATGCTAGTGTAAACACCGACCATATTACGTCCAAAACAGTCGGGCATTGTTTCTGATAGCAACTTTCTGATAGTGTTTTTTTCATCAATATCAACCATCATTTACCTAAATTCAATATACCTCTAGTGAGCGGCCCAGCCCTTCGTTTATTTTTCTGTATGTGGCCCTTGGTGAAAAGAGTTTGGACACCCCTGATTTACACGTTCGAAATAAATAAAATAAAATAATGAATGAAATAAAACCCCCAGAGTAATGATGAGTTACCTGTCCGGCAGCAGCCTCATGCCGGCGGTGCACAGGATGTAGAGCGGCGTCTCTTTGTGTTTGCTCCTCGGGACGTGAGCAGCAGCGAAGCTCAGCAGAGGGTAGAGGTAATCACTGGCCCGAGTGGGAGAGGTGGCCAGGGTGGAGATCCCTGAGAGAGACGGCAACAACACACACATTTCAGACTTGAGACACAGCTTAAGTTAAAGAAGCACAATCCTCAAACTGAAATGACACGGCACTTTCGTTAGTCACATACACTCAATCTGTTTTTGAGTTCAATTCACTTAAAGGGGACCTATCATGCAAAATGCACTTTTGTACGTCTTGTATACATGAATATGTGTCCCCGGTGTTCCAGGGAACTCACCAAGTGTCAGAAAACACAACCCTCTCTATTTTCCTCCATACCCAAATCTCTAAAAAAAGGGGCTGCAACGGATCTGATAAAAACTGATCCAGATTTGAACACTGTCCTGACGTCAGGACGGTGGCGCTACGGCTATTGTGCCAACTCCACCAATCAGGAGGAGACAGCCACGGCCATTGCCGTTCGAAAGCGCTGGAGACGCTGTAGTACATATGCCAGGCCAGTAGATGGTGCTGTTGCTCACTGAATCTGCCCTTGCAAAAACAGAGCTAAAAAATGTCAAATTGAGCAAAATGAGGCATGGCTAAAATGCATGATCTGTTTGGTATTTTGAAAAAAAAAAAGTATAAATATGCCTTATATAGGTATGGTCCTACACTATATTATTCAAATATAGCATGATAGGTCCACTTTAAGCTTTATTTAACCAGATAAGACCAAGAGATATTTTGTAATGGGGACCTAGACAAGAAGGCATCAAAGTCACACACACATAAACAGTATGATGCAAAACAATTCATACAACAAAACTACTGTCCATGCATCACGAGAAATAAGCATAACTGTAACAACAAGATATGTCATCGTCCCTTTGCATGAAAGGATTTTTTTTCTCCTGTAAACTGTGTCTGAAATGTTTTCTGTCTCTTAAAGCCCGCCTACCGAAAAAGCCCCGGCTGCTCTGATTGGCTTGTGTGAGCTGCGGTATAAACCAGAAGAGCCTGTATGTGACAAAGCCGGTTGAGACAAATCTTAACGGTTTGTTGAAGCCCATGTTCTCACAAAAAGCTGATCAGTGTCTAGCAACTCATAAACTGTGCAATAAAAGAGAGCAATGCAAGAAAAACGGTTGTTCTATATAAAACGTTGGTACATTTGGTCCCAGGATTCAAAGTGCCACGTATGCTTTAGCTATTGCTCCTGGAAAAACAAAACACCCAGTGTATCTAATCTGTGTGCTGAGATAAAGACAGAGGCACTGAATGGTGCTTTCTGCTGAAATGACTTAACGTACGGACGTCACGACAAAAACTACCGGTAATCATGACAATCCCATCCATTTCAGATCAAATGAGGAGGTTAACCGTACAAGGAAAACTCACAGAGGGTTTTTTATCCTGTTCAACTTCTATTTTTCCCCTGCTCTATATTTCCCATGAATGCCACGTCTTATCTCCGTCACACACTCTGCCCTTCATTTCTTTTGGCTGTGAGCCAAAGGGACAGACAATGATAAGTAATGATCCTCATGCTGGCACCAAGAAGTCGAAAACACTGGAGCGGGGGGGGGGGGGGGCTGTCTGCGTCTCAAAGGCACCTTTGTAAAGTCACACAACAACAAAAAGTGAAGAAATCTGTGGTTTTTAGGAGATGTTTGACAAAATGTCTGAAGAATTTCTCTCCGTTTCACTACTGCACATATCGCACATGAATTTTTTTATTTATTTTTTTACTTGAAAAAATGTTCTTTATTAAATAATACATCTGATTAGTAGCATTTTAGTAGGATAGTAGTATTTTAAAGTGTCAAAAACAAAGTGACCGTAACAGACAGTAACAAGAACAACCAGTGTTTTTGTACCTATAGTACTACCAGACAAAGCAGGCATTTTCTTTGTGCCACTGCATCTCACAAATAAACAAGGACATTTAATAATCAGACCCTGCAATAAAATAAATCAAGTTTCACTTTAGTTTTTCAAGTAACTCAACTCAAACTCACTCCGCATCATCAGACAGGTTTTTTTTAGGAATATGAGCATGTCCACATTTCCAGGTAGAAGCTGGGATGTTTGGGCGTTTACAATATCCCCTGCTGAGGAAAAAACTCTCTCGCTTGGTACTGATGTTGCTGGGACAGCAGTGGTCGCGTTAACCGAATATTCTTTTTAACAATGACGGAAAAATGTGAAAGCAGTCCGTCATTTTGACAGATTAGAACAAACTCGGAACAGCGCCAAAGTTTCCCCGCAGCGAGGCTCTGGTATTTGCCGTGTTATGCATGCCCTCCAAAAGGAAGTTATATAGTTTCCAAACCGTACTTTGCCGTACAGATCATTGAAGTGTCTGGGAGTTTTTGCTTTACGCGCTCCCGCGAGGTGCACCGGCGCAACGGTTCACGAGTGTGCTCTCGCTAGCTGAAGCTTGGTTGCTAGGTTACTAGCTGGGTGTTCTCCGATAAGGGGCCAGGGGAAACAAAGTTAGTGATTACTGGTTCCATGTTGATTTATTTCAATACAAATTGTTGGGGGGAACTGAAAGGCTCTTGCCGTACTGGTTACTTTGCAGCCCGGACATTTCCCCCAAAACACATTTAAACGCTATCGCAACACAGAAGTACCTTTCAAATCCCATCATTTTTAAGACCTTCTAAATCATATTTAAGACCTTTCTTGTTTTTTTGGTCATATTTAAGACTTTTTTAAGGCCTTAAATTCAGATTATCAAATGCAAGACTTTTTAAGACCCCGCGGACACCCTGTTAATAATAATGAAATGTAGATTAGGGCTGCAAGTTTCCGAAAAAAACAACGAGTTGCGATGATTTTGACTGAATTTGTAATTACGATATGTTTCACAATATTAGAGGGAATGATGATTTTTAATTATTATTTTGCTATCATTTAAATATATATTAAATGATTATGGTGGAGGATCTGTACTAAAAAGTCAGCACAATGTACGATGTATAGGCTAGAATATATCTGCAGCCCCTTACTTCATTAAAAAGGGTAATTCAACACATATTTAGCATTTAACAAACATTGTAAATCCTGCGTTTTGGATATTGTCCATATTGCCGTCACTGAGCTCCTGTTTCCTCACCAGGTTTGATTTTCTTGACGACAGGTTTGCGGTCGCGGTCCTTCATCTGTCGGATGTCCAGCAACGTGTGGGGGTTCCCGTTGTGGGGGGGCCAGTAGTACACAAAGACCCTGGAGCCGCTGGAGCCACAGTCCACCACCACGCCGTAGTTCAGAGCCGGGTTCAGGACGTCCGTGGCCTCCATGGTCTCTGCGATGGAGAGGTACCTGGAGGAGGAGGAGAGGGAACATCTGTTACTCGGTAATAAGACACACTTTCCTCTTAGCACGACACTTTATTTCAGCACACCGCCATCTTCGGATATCACATACAACACGTAACTCCCACGTAACACTTCACAACATCCGGTAACACTTCCGGTTCTTCACAATAAAACTCCAAGTGAACACATTAAACAGAAACAGAAATAGTGCATGTAAGTTAACACATTATGATATGAAAAACATGCTCCTGAACAATATCTACTTTGTATATGGTCAATAGCTTCTTGTTTTCATACCTTGGATATGTTCCTTTTTGGTTTTCATAATCTTAAAAGGGACCGTATTCTGCCTTTTTGGGTTTTCCCTTTCCAGTAGTGTGTTCTAAAGGTTTTAGTGCATGTAAATGGTCTGCAAGGCTAAAATCCCTGTTTCCTACAGAGGGAGTTTCTCTCCCACACACTCGCGCTTCTATTGGCTAGCACTCCAACACATTGTACGTTAGGGCCGCACGATATATCGTGTCTTGACGATAATCGCGTTATGCGCATGCGCAATATTCACATCGCAGGACGTGCGATTTTAAGTAGGCAAATTAACTCAAACACGTCATGTTACAATTATTTTGCTGCTTGCTACAAAAGGAAAACTCGCGTGGCTCTCATGTCAGCGGTACTTGAGTGCGTGACATGCCGGCTCTGCATGCACAGCAACCCACCAATCACAATCATTCTTGATCAGATCACAGCAGGATAACCGAGCTAGCTCAGCTTGTTGCTCTGATAACTTAAGATCCAGAAGTCCGTGACTAAAATCCTTCATGCGGTTAAATATCGTTAAAAAAATACCAATTGTATAACATTAAAGTTCAAGAAAGGATGGTTTGCGGCCAAAAAATCGGTCTTTTCTTCAATTCCTGTATTTTTTCATATCGCAGGGGGAAAAAATCGCAATGTCAGTTTTTTGCCAATATCGTGCAGCCCTATTGTACGTGATAGGCTAACGGGTGGGACATCTCTAAGCGGTTGACCAATCACATCAGAGCCGACCAGCTAACCAATCAGAGCAGACTGGGCTCTGGTTTCAGACAGAGGGTGAAAAGAGGTGCTGCAGCAGAGCTTTTTGAACATTACAGCATGGAGACATGTCACAGGAGAGTTGACCATATGCAGGTTTTTTTCCATTCATGGGAACATGGAAACATTTGTTGCTGGATAACAAGCTTTGTGAACACGGTTATCTCATTTGTTTCTGAGGCCTGACAGCTCAAGGTGACTGTGTGAGAGTGACTGCAGCTGTTCTCCTTCGTGACCAAGGATAGTTAGAGATAGTGAAATATGTTATCTCTTCATATGCGGTTTTCTACTTTTAGTTTAATCAGACCTAAGAAGAAGATCAAATGCACGCTAAAGGTTTTCTCTCAGGGATCGTGCTGTTATGTTAAATGTTTGTTTGTTTTTCATGTATTGTGTCTTTTTATTTGTCTGTTGATGTTACACATGGAGCTGCTGTGATGCAAGACACATTTCAGACTTGATCTGACCATTAAAAATCACCTATTATGCAAAATCCACTTCTTCATGTCTCTTCTACATCAACATGTGTCCCCTCTTCTTCATGTCTCTTCTACATCAACATGTGTCCCCTCTTCTTCATGTCTCTTCTACATCAACATGTGTCCCCTCTTCTTCATGTCTCTTCTACATCAACATGTGTCCCTCTTCTTCATGTCTCTTCTACATCAACATGTGTCCACCTCTTCTTCATGTCTCTTCTACATCACCATGTGTCCCCTCTTCTTCATGTCTCTTCTACATCAACATGTGTCCCCTCTTCTTCATGTCTCTTCTACATCAACATGTGTCCCCTCTTCTTCATGTCTCTTCTACATCAACATGTGTCCCCTCTTCTTCATGTCTCTTCTACTCACATGTTCCCCTGTCTTCTTCTCATTCACATGTGTCCCCTATTCTTCTATCATCACCATGTGTGCCCCTCTTCTTTCATGTCTCTTCTACATCAACATGTGTCCCCCTCTTCTTCATGTCTCTGGTCTACATCAACTTGTTGTCCCCTCTTCTTCATGTCTCTTCTACATCAACATGTGTCCCCCTCGTCTTCATGGCTCTTCTACATCAACCATGTGTCCCACTCTTCTTCATGTCTCTTCTACATCAACTATGGTGGTCCCCCTCTTCTTCATAGTCTCTTTTCTACATCTAACATGTGGTCCCCTCTTCTTCATGTCTCTTCTACATCACCATGTGGTCCCCTCTTCTTCATGTCTCTTCTACATCAACATGTGTCCCCTCTTCTCATGTCTCTTCTACATCAACATGTGTCCCCTCTTCTGTCTTCATGTCTCTTCTACATCAACATGTGTCCCCTCTTCTTCATGTCTCTTCTACATCAACATGTGTCCCCTCTTCTTCATGTCTCTTCTACATCCACATGTGTCCCCTCTTCTTCATGTCTCTTCTACATCACCATGTGTCCCCTCTTCTTCATGTCTCTTCTACATCAACATGTGTCCCTCTTCTTCATGTCTCTTCTACATCACCATGTGTCCACCTCTTCACATGTCTCTTCTACATCAACATGTGTCCCCTCTTCTTCATCAACATGTGTCCCCTCTTCTTCATGTCTCTTCTACATCAACATGTGTCCCCTCTTCTTCATGTCTCTTCTACATCAACATGTGTCCCCTCTTCTTCATGTCTCTTCTACATCAACATGTGTCCCCTCTTCTTCATGTCCTTTCTACATCACCATGTGTCCCCTCTTCTCCATGTCTCTCTTCATCAACATGTGTCCCCTCTTCTTCATGTCTCTTCTACATCAACATGTGTCCCCCTCTCTCCATGTCTCTTCTACATCACCATGTTCCCCTCTCTTCATGTCTCTTCTACATCAACATGTGTCCCTCTTCTTCATGTCTCTTCTTCATCAACATGTGTCCCCTCTTCTTCATGTCTCTTCTACATCAACATGTGTCCCCTCTTCTTCATGTCTCTTCTACATCAACATGTGTCCCCTCTTCTCCATGTCTCTGCTATATCAACATGTGTCCCCTCTTCTTCATGTCTCTTCTACATCAACATGTGTCCCCTCTTCTTCATGTCTCTTCTTCATCAACATGTGTCCCCTCTTCTTCATGTCTCTTCTACATCAGCATGTGTCCCTTCTTTTTCATGTCTCTTCTACATCAACATGTGTCCCCTCTTCTTCATGTCTCTTCTACATCAACATGTGTCCCCTCTTCTTCATGTCTCTTCTACATCAACATGTGTCCCCTCTTCTTCATGTCTCTTCTACATCAACATGTGTCCCCTCTTCTTCATGTCTCTTCTACATCACCATGTGTCCCCTCTGTGTAAAGAGACTCTGAAAGTTTCAGGAACAAAGACCCCCCCTCTTTTTGTCCTGATCCATTTATATAAAAACCTGTCTGAAAATGAGCTGATCAGATTTTGGCCACTTTGTGATGTCATAACGATGTTTTGGCTTGTGTAACCATTAGCCAATCAGCAACCAAGGTAACCCCCCCCCCCCCCCACCTTATCACCTGAATCTCCTCCTAGAGCACCATTAGCCGCGTTCACACCGGAGTACTTTCACCGTACTTTTCGCGTTTTAGTTCCGTGAGTACCCCTTATGTCGCGTTCACACCAAAAATCGTACTTAATCTCGGGTACTTTTACCCCCATTTTTAGAGCCAGCTCGGAGAGCGTACTTTTCTGTGGGTGAAAAGTGCTCCAAAAGTTCCCCAGTGCTGATTGGCTGGGCGAATTGCAAACCACGCCCGTACAACTCTGAAAATGTTGTGTGGAGACGCCATTGTTTTTCCTCGCTACAAAAACACAACGCTCCGTGCGTTGTGTTTGTTTTTGAAAGCAGTTATGGCAAGCATCAAGAAATGATGAGGAGGTGTCGGCGCTTCTGGAGATCTACGCCGAGGACGCGACCCAAGGAATGCTACTGAAGCCAGTTCGGTAGCTTTCACTCGACCTGGGAATTGTGCACAGCCGGCTAAATATAAAGAAACTCAGCAGGACTACAAACGGCGGATTCAGTGGCCAACGATGACTACCACGATGAAGGTAAAATCAACTACATGCACTGGGGTTTTAATCTGCACAATAATGGTCTCAGATGTACTTTTATTTGCTCAGTAGATCAAGCTAGCCATGCTAGCCATAATAGGCTAACACCGGCCCCGGCTAGCTACATCTAGCTAGCTAGATATTCTCCGCTGTATGAAAATGTTTTGACTTGTGAATAACTGTGCAGTGTTTCTGTAATTTGCTTCACTAACTCATGGCACTAATCGTCTGTTTCAGGCGAGGATGGACAACTCTCGGGATTGGAAACAAGTGAGCTTTGCATTCTAGATCACAGCGCTTTGTCGTCCTCCTTACCAGCAACCAAACGCAAAGGTACACACACTGTAACTTTGTCTTGAAAGAACGTTACGCATCGAACTGATGTTCACAATCATGTTTATTTCATAATATTCATCATATTTTATGTTTAACTTGCCTCAACAACATTAAACAAAGTTCAAGCATACATGAAGCACTCTTCAAAAAGGAACAATCCTCCGTGTTTGAACCTCTTGAATCGCTGCATAGCCGATTTATTTGGACTGGATTATCCCAGAGAGGCCAAACATTCTTTATAACACAGTTTCAGATTTGTGAAACCTTAATTCTATTTGTGAAAATACAAAAAAGGGAGATTTCAGTGCTTTTTTTACATGTAGACCACATTAGACCAGGTCCTGATCTAAAACCACTATACCTAGACTCATCAAATCTGGACTGGATTATCCCAGAGAGTCAAAAGATTCTTTATAACACAGTTTCAGATTTGTGAAACCTTAATTCTATTTGTGAAAATACAAAAAACACATTCCTAGTATGTTGTAAAACTACATGGCGACTAAGATCTTGTATATTGCTTATTTTCCCCTCTTAGGAAAGCGGACACGGGATGCGAATTTCTTTGACAACGCCCAGGCGTTGGAGGACCGGCGTGCCGTGGTGAATGAGTCGCTGCGTGGAGATCAGATGGTGCTGTTCACCAAGGCCCAGGAAACGGAGGACAAGATGCTCACCTCGATGGAGCGCCAGGCAGAAGTGTTCAAGCAGCAGATGGAGCGCCAGCAGCACCAGGATGAAGTGTGGGCGCTGCGCCATGAGGAAGCGTCGGCGCAGCGGCAGGATGAGCGACAAACTGCATTTAATAACAGTTTATTTGGTATAGTTTTTGTAAATACTGACACACGACACACAACGTTGCACTAAGGTGTGTATGCTGCTGAGACTATCCCTACACCTGGGACAGTTTATTTTATATTGTTATTACTGTTATGACTTTATTTTATATATAATGTTTACTGACATGTACAACTGACACTTTATTTACATTTAAAATTGTTCTATTTAATGTTATGTCTTGAGAGTGCAATAAAGAAAACCGACATAGCGATTAAGCTTATTTCTCCTGACACTTTATCTTTTGTGACCTGTGTAGCATCCTATACATCACATGTAAGTGATTATTCTGATACCATCATGTTTCATCGGTTATAAACTGGCAAAGCTTTATTTGTCATTTATTTATCATCAATGTTGCAACCTTGTGGGGGAATGGCAGCGGCACATACACAAATATGATAATTTATATCATTTTAAATATTATTTGACCTAAACTTTTAATTCCCCCCCATTTCACACAACACAACATGGAGTCCACTATGGGCCAAAACTAACATGTATGTTTGCATAGTGTTTATGGCAGACGGATGCAGTGGGTCTCAGGAAGATATATAATAAAGGTGGGTTTGCTGCTGAGACTCCCTACACCTGGGAGTTTATATTGTTATTACTGTTATTATATAGTACAACTGACACTTTATTTTATATTGACAATGTTTACTGACATGTACAACTGACACTTTAGTTACATTTAAAATATTTCTATTTAATGTTATGTCTTGAGAGTGCAATAAAGAAAACCGACATGGCGATTAAACAGATCCTGTATCAGCCATCCTATGGTGAAACATGGCAATCGTGTGCTTTCCGTCGGCCAATCCTTTTCCTAAAGCTTTTGATGCTGAAGAAACTTTGCGATTATAGCATTCGACGTGTGGCGGCTCCGGATTTTTGTCGGACGCCTAATAGGCTCAGGCTCTGGCCGCATTAACGAAGTTACAAAGCTGTATAACATGAGCACAAACAGCACAACTTCAGTCGACTCCATCTCCATCATGTCTGAGGTCGGAAGGTAAACAACAGACAGTATACGCGGGAAGTTTTTCTTCTTCTTCTCTTGTTTTGTAGCGGATTGCAAACAACTTTAAGGTGCTTACCGCCACCTACTGTACTTGTAATCTTCCCTCAGGGAAAAGTACTCCGGTGTGAACGCGATCTGTACTAAGTGCCCTGGGGTTAAAAGCGCCAGGGCTCTTAGTGCCGGAACTAAGTACAGGAAAGTACTTGGTGTGAACGCGGCTATTGTGTTCTTTTTAACCAAATCTCTCTCAGAGGGGCGTGGGGAGGGGCTCCTTATTTTCATCTGAAGTAACAGACAGAGAATCAGCACTTTGGAAACAGGGCTGAAACAGAGGGGATTATGGGATGCTGCAATGATCTGTTTGGTGTTTCAGCCAATCAGAGACAGGCTCTGTATATATCTGAGACCTATAATATATCGATGAAAAACAGTATGATAGGGGACCTTTAAAGTATTATCGTATCGTACGATGGTTCAAATCCTAAACCCAGAATTAACAGGGTTTAAAGATCACACTTGTGCAGAACTCTTTGTGACTCGTTGAGACTCTTTGTGACTCGTTGAGACTCACTTGTTGACTCGGTGGCCGGGCCTCCGATGCTGCCCCAGGCCCCACAGCTGCCTCTGGTAGGTCCCCAGCAGCAGCAGGGTGGAGGTGATGAAGAGCAGCAGCAGCAGCCTCTGCCTGGGAGCGCAGCCCAGAGACAGAAGGGACACGCTGCAGTGCCAGGAGGCCGGCAGGCAGGAGAACGTGATCCTGGGGAGGAGGAACAAGGGGAAAGACTGAATTAATGTTAAGAAAATGTACGTTTGGTCCATGATTTATTTGAATCCGGAACCTGCATTCTATGTTTGATTATCAGTGGAGTGATTGCTTTGCTCGCTTCATGTGAAAGCGTATTTTGTCAGATATAAATTACCCTTTATTTGCTTATTTCCTTTTTCTTGGACTTAAAATCACACTGTACATTTTACATTTATATATTCACAGGGTATATGCAGGAATCCTGAAGTCAAATGTAATACCTTTTTAGACCTTTTTTAAGACCCTTTCCATACATTTTAAGACCTCATCGCCACTTGGAGTTCTAACGGGTTACATTGGCGACACACTTTACCTCACATTGACTATATACAGTATTGATTGTCCTTCCTCCTTATCTTCCAACCATTTGGACGCAGACTTGCATTTCCCCATAACGATGTTGTTTAACAACCGGCGTAAACGGACCTTCGCGCGCTATCAAGCAGTGAGCGTGCGATGTCCTGTTCTGATGACGTCAAATCCAACGGGATGCCATAAATAAACTACACAGAATCACACTACACACCTACGCAATGATTACATTCAGGCAGACTGTAGAATACAACCTCTTTGGACAATTTATATACTTATTGAGAACAAGCTACAAAATGTAATACCTTGGAAAATGCCGTTTAATACTTTTTAAGACCCCGCGGACACCCTGTTTCAGTTTAATATTTAATATTCCATCCCTCACATACTTATGTATATATAATAACTTGCTTTATATTTTGTTTTGTTATTGTTAATTTGTAAATTCAACATGTATATTTTCTACTTGTGGGTTAATTCTAGTCTTTTACATTTGTATTGTACAATGCCATGTCTTTGATGCTGATGCAACACAAACATTTCCCAAATTGGGATCAATAAAGTACATCTTATCTTATCTTAGTTCCTATAGAGCTGTGTTACACATTTCCCCTAACATGTAACAAGATCTTAGGGTGTGTAACGGTCAGTGCTACCATTCAAATCACACCCTTCCACATGCAGAACATGTTCCTGAACACTTCAAAGACTCCACGTGTAATAGAGACTTTGGATGCTGTTATCAGTTCATTACCTTGCCATCTGTCCCGGTGGGCAACAATACAAGATGTCACAGTCGTCACCTCATGGTGTCTGCAGAGTGATCAGGACCCGGTCCAGAGTTTAGACTTTCCTTCTGCCTGAAGGAGAGAAGAGGGAGAGAACACAACAGCGTATTTAACATGTTAGCAGGTGAACAAACAAATGTAGAAAAGCTGAAACATCTCAACACCTTATTGACAAAAATATTTACATGTTTTTTCTCAGTCGCTCAAGGATTTGCAGATTTTCTCTGTCTAATGTGACGGTTATATTTTAAATGTAGTACAAGGAATTTGGAGGTGTCACCTTTGACAATTTTCACTGTTAGTATCTAACCCTTTTATAGCACAACATAAAAAACACATTACAGGTATTTTAGAGAACCAAAGGGGAGATAAATCAACAACAAAAAACACACAAACATTGATCGATGGTACAGTGTATATGTGGGTACAGTCTTTGTTTTAGTTGTGTGTCTATTCACACTTTTTACTTTACTTTAAAATACTATTTAACTAATTGCTTTACATTTCTGTGACGTTGCTGGTGTAAAGTTGCAATTTTCCATCAGGATCAATGAAGTTAATCATTACTCTAATCTATAAATATACACCGACCACGTGTACTACTTTATTTCTTATTAATCCCGTCAAATCAAGCAATCTGATTGGTTCTTAGCCGTGATATAATGAGCGTATATCACGGGTAGAATTGTAGTTACTTTTCACAAGTCATGTATCCCTCCGCGTCTGAGAAAAGCTACAACCGTTAAAACTGAACATTACTAACTAACAAAGCTTAAAATGGAAACATTTAAGTATACATGACTTCATTAGTGTTAGGTACAGGTACTTCCAGGTTATATTAAACATTTTCCAATTATATTTGTATGAAATCCTTCCAAAATGCATTCAAATGTTCTTCACAATACCAGCTATTAAAACGTAATAATAATATGCTATTTTCCTTGTTATATAAGATAAAAGTGTAGCATTTAAAACACAGAACAGCATGCCAGCTGGACAAAACAAACACCACACTTAATATACATATAACATATGTTGTACTTCTAGCTTCAGCACTGGTTTCTGTTTGTATTAATGTGATGTAATGTAATATAATTTCAGTTAAGTTAGCAACAAACCGTTAGAAATCAGCTAACACAACGGTTAACAGTGGATTTAAATACATATGTATATAAACTTACCTAAATGTGTCTTTCCTCCACCATGACAGTACAATCCGACAGTGGTTAAAGTGTTTGTTTAACAGAAAATGATGTGTAAATACGTATATAATCCGGCTGTTCTGCACGGAGGTGTATTTAAAAAGAAGCCAAGTAGGCGAAGCAGATGATAAAACCGGAAATCCAACACACTTCCGGTTGTCCCCGTGGTGGAGTTACGTCATCAAATTCGCCTGCTGCATTCAGGTGCTGTAGGACAAAAAGTCTGATTTACTAAGTAAGTGCTTCAGAAACTTTAATATTTGTCTAGAAGATTAATTGAAATTGTACAGGGTAACATCAGGGGTGTACCATAGTACCTGTTCAAATCTCAGAATTCAGATTTTTTTTCTCAGAATTCTGACTTTTTTTTCAGAAATCTGACTTTTTTTCACTCAAAAGTGTGACTTTTTTCTCAGAATTCCCCAAAAAATGTTCTCACAATTCAGACTTTTTTGTCAAATTCAGATTCTTTTCCCTCAGATTTCTTTTGTGAATCTCAGAATTCTGACTTTGATTTGGAGACAATTTAATTTTTTACCTCAATATATTCTGATATTAAAGGTAGGGTAGGTAAGTTTGAGAAACCGGCTCGAGATACACTTTTTGTTATATTCCATGGAATGCTCTTAACATCCCGATAGCAATGAATATCTGAAGTGCTTTGACAAAAAATCCATACAAAATGTAATCTGTGGAAGCCGTAGTACTGTATAAAGCACGACCAATCATTTTAGCCGGACCGGCTAAAATAACTGGATGGCCTACCTGCCTGTCAGCCTTCCATCTGTGCACAAACTTATCTCGTGCCCTCATTGGTCATGTGTGCGTTCGTGTGTGTTGGAGGAGGGGCTCTGTAAGGAAGTCTGAAGGAAGGGGCACATTTTTTCCGGTTGTGTACTTTCAAATTCTAGCGCACTCGAGCTGGTTTCTCCATTCTTACCTACCTTTAAAGTCAGAACTCATGTATGTTTTTTTGCTTTTGGTAACAACCCCCAAAAATGTCCTCTTACATAAAGAAAACTGTAATACTTTTCTAGTTTTATTTAATTTGTAAAGGGTAACATGAAGCCTTATGATAAACAAAGTGGGTATCCAATCTGACATTTGAATATTTTTCGTGATCAAGATTTTGTAGAAGTTAAGAAACTTTTTTATTTTAGTTAACGGATTCACTTTTCATAAATCAGGTGATTTGACATAATTACCTTTTACCTTATTATTTGTTTATGCAAATTATTTTTCTTATTTCTGCATTTCACTTCCACCGTTATGTCTCTTGCACTTTTGTACTGCCCTATTTAATGTCTTTATTTTTTAATATGTCCTCAGTATATTATTGCATTGTTGGATGAGCCTTGGAAGATGTTTTAATTGCCAAAAAAATCACTTTAGCTATGGTGCATGTGACAACAAAGCCTTTGAATCATGAGATATCAAGCAGTTCGTTGTGTCTTCATAATTGCTGCACCCGATCAAAGTCAAAGTCAACTTTATTGTCAATCTCAAAATATGTTTGTACACACAGAAAGATCGAAATACTGTTTCCCACAGTCCCGACTCCGAGGTATAACAAACTCACACATTAAAATGCAAGAACACTCAATGATCCATCCCATCAATGTAATACACTTGTAATTCGCTTTGTTATGGTCACAATTCCAATTTCGGACGTCCTGTTTAACATCCTTCCCGGAATCACATGTGACCTCCTGCTGTTATAAAATCGTCGACACCTATTTACGCTGAAACACCGCCCTCTATATCTACCCGCCCTCTTTTTTAGGACAGAAGTGGCCTATCAGAGGAAATATCAATGATCGACACTCGGCTTGTCCAATCAGCTTCGGCTTTGAGCGTAAGAAAACCTTCCTTTTAAAACCCCATCAACCCGCCTCTTTATTGGACAGAAGTGGCCAATCAAATAACAGATCTTTGATTGACAGGCAGCCTTGTCCAATCAGCTTAGGCTTTGAGCGTGACAGATCTCTCCGCCCTCTGTATCAACCCGCCTCTTCTAGGACAGAAGTAGCCAATCAAATAACACATCTTTGATTGACAAGCAGCTTGACCAATCAGCTTCGTCCTTGAGTGTGACAAATCCTTCCGCCTCTACTCCCTGTTCCCCGACCCTCCACAGCTGCCCGCCGCGCAGTAATAGCGACCCGCCAAGAACGCTCTCCGGCCGGGTGGATACATTATACAGCCGGGAAGACTTCACACCATCCGGCGGGTCGCTAGGACTCGTCGATTTTAACCCACTTTAAGCGGCGGACTATACTCTTTTCCCCCACCAAAATGGAAGCGGACGGGTTTGTGTCCCGGAGAACCGCCATGGAAACACCAGGCGTCGACAGCCGGGTTTCGAGCGCTGCAGCCGGGGCAGAGTTTCGATGGATGGGCAACAGACTGCTGGACGCCACGGGGGGATTTGTCGGCTCTCTTTCACCGAGAATGCCAGGGGAACCGGACTTTACCCCAGTTGTGCATCGTGTGGAGACCTCCGTGGAGCCAGAAATAGACTATGAAGGGCTTCCTCAGGGATCCGCCACCAGCACACACATGCTGGCTGGATCCGTGGCTGGAATCATGGAGCATTGCCTTATGTACCCCATCGACTGTGTCAAGGTAATGCAACTAATATATATATATATATATATATATATACAACATTCCTCCTTCTTCTTGTGCAGGCCTAGATTTTGTCACATTGAACCCAGTCACTGGTTATTTAAACCATGGATGTTTAAAGAGAACTGGATACATGACAGTTGCTAAGTGGTGCATGAAGCCAAAAATAGTCTTCCAAAGTACCCGTATGTAGGCCCATAGAGCATGCGCAGTTGAGATTTCCTTAAGCCCCGCCTCTTATCTCCAGCTCTCGGCTCAGTGAAATTAATGAAGAGAGAAAATAACTCGGGATTCAGGTTTTAGCACATTGTACAACTTTCAAACTCTAATGATTAAAATAAATGCTTTACAAGAGATCGTACTGGCAAGTTTATATAACTCCAAAAAAATTATACGCATATTTACAGACGTCTCTTTTCCAATGTAAGTCAATGGGAAAGGTCTTTTTGGGCCAAAATGACGTCACGGCAGTTGTAGTACCACCATTTGACCACAACGGTCGTTAATTTAAATCGGCTTCAACGGCCGGCGTTAAACCCAAAGTAGGCCGCAATATAAGGCTGAGCTTGAATAACGTTTGCCTTCAAGCTAACGGGGGGTAACCTTGTTATCAGAGGTCAGTTAACTAACTAACATTATCTGAACAGCAAATTATGTAACAAAAAATAGCTCAAACAGAAGATGGAATGACGTGGGTGTGTTTACCAAAGTACAGCGTTTTCTGTTATCCTTTTATGTAATAATAACGATGTGACATTGGCTTCTAGTCTCACTTTGCTACAATGCTACATGTGTAGTCTACTAGCTAAAGCAGTGGTAGATCCATTATCGGACACCCCCTAAACGTACATGTCACCTTTTGGTTTTGACGTGGAATCATAAATCTAAGGGTGGAAGAAGTACTCGGGTCTTATGCTTAAGTTAAAGTGGATGTACAACAGTGTCAAAATACTCTGTGATAAGTATAAGTCCTGCAATCAAAGTGCTACTACATTTTTTTTTTTCTTTATTGGCATCCAAATATATTTAAAGGACCAAAAGTAAAAGTACCAATTATGCAGATTGGCCCATTTTAGAATAATATATATGATGTGTTTGGGTTCTTATTATTGATGCATTAGAGTGTTATCAAAGTGGGTAGAGCTGCAGCTAATTTGAATGACTGTGTATGCCATGAAGTAGAAGTACAACGTAGCAGGAAATGGAAATACTCAAGTAAAGTACCTCAAAATATTACTTGGTAAATGTACTTAATTACTTTACACCACTGAATCTAACCCCAACACGTTTTCACTCTTCTTAACTAAGGTTATCTTAACTAAACAAATGTATGTATCGTAGATGTTTGTATTTCATCACTGTGTCAAAAGGTATTTGAGCAGGTCATGTGGAAAGTCCATGTAAAGAGATGGAAATAGTCAATTATTAACACAGATGGGTAGTCAGTAGACGGTCAATCTGTATCATAAAGGTGAAGGAATTCTTGTAAATAACACGCACTGGCTTGGCAGACATTGTACACAGTTGTCTTGTCAGTCAGTCTTGTATAAGTCTGTGTAGTTATTACTCTAAACCAACATATGACATAACTACACGCTGTGAAGACTACCCATCCATATTAATCATTAAGATAAAACAGAACCGTACCAACAGAAGAGTGGACACCATCTTGTAGATTTTGCGTTGAGAGAATTGGGATTTATTATGACGAATGTGCGTCTGAATATCCCGTTCCAGTTATCTGAAATTTGACCTTTTAAGCCTTCTGTGCTCATTAGTTTCTGACTGTATTTGAGTTACACATTACATACTATTTCTATTTTCTAAAGAAGACTATGTAGCGTGCTTACACTGGATAAGAGATTAAGTACATTCAAATATGTTCTGATGCGTACTAGATTGAGTGTGGTGTGTAGGTCGACAGTATTTCTCGAAAAGCAGCGCACAACAGAAATTGAAGAGCTTGTACAAATGGAAATAATTAAATACAGTCTTGAATGGTGGTGAGAACAAGTGGAAATAATCTTGGTAAAAGCGATTTGCTTGTTTCTGTTGGTTTATATTTGTTTCTTGTCGTGCAAAACAAAGAAAAACAACCGTTCCCTGGTCACCAATTGAGAAAAACAAGTCACTGTGAAATTAAAATAACCGATTACTGTGCACATTATTGTTTTATAGTTTGGTATAGCAATATATATTGTGTTTGTGAACAGAGGAACATGTATTGGGCATGAGCATTAGTTGACCAAACTTTGAGTAACGCTCATTACGGACTTGTAAATGTAACTCACTTCAGACCTTAACATTGGTTCAGTTACTAGACCCCAAAACAAACCTTTAGCAAAGAAGTAGGTCCCGAAATCGGTTGGACTGCCGCGGCAAACTCCTTATCAAAGACTCATGAATTATACTCCATAAAATGATCTATGTATCCATTGTAGGTAGCGCTGGGTGGATTTGGGAAAAACCCCATTGCATTTATTTGATTGCAATTGCAAAATGATTTCTGCTATTGGAGGAATTGATCATTTGTGTACCCCCTATTCTCATTGAAAGGAGAAATGTAAAATCAACATGCATTGTTTTATAAAAAGGGTCTGTACCAAACAAATATATTTTATTCTTACGATATCTATGCTGGGATTTCTCTGCAGCACAACAATACTTTATTCAGATGTATTAGTACATGTTTTGCCTGTACGTACGTTTCTTCTGTATGTTGGGACATTAGTGCTCTTCATCCTGACTGTCATTGAGTTCCTTGTGTTGAACCAGAGGAGGAAGAACACATTTCTTTAGGGGTTTCCCTGAGCTCCGGTGAATGAAACAAAGCTTTGTGTTCTCTAAAAAAACCTTCCGTTTAATCTCCTCGAGTTCATTATATGTTTCTCTTTTCGGCAAAACCATTTGAACCTGATCACCTCTTGTTTTCGTGTCCGACGCAAACCATTCGAATCCGATTGTCCTGCATTCTCCGTAGATTTTTAATGGCCTTTCTTTTTAAATGTGTCTTAATTTTTCTCTTCCCCTTCAGTCAAGATGGTTTCGGCCACAAAGGCGAAGTACACGGAGGAAGTGCATTGCAAATATTTGTAGAAGTACATCTTCAAGATCACTTTTTTTATATTCCAGTAATGTTGACCGAACCACTTCCTCGAGAGTTCTTTATTTTCACAATCTTAGTTTCCTGTTGCTTCAAAGACAACACGGTTATCTTCTGTTCAATTCCTTCCGATCATTTCAGACACGGTTTCCTTGTTGCTCGGGGTTTTTTACTTTAATAATATGCACCAAAAGACGTGTTTTCCTGGTCTTATCCACTTTTGTAACTTTAAAGTGGACCTATCATGCTATATTTGAATAATATAGTGTAGGACCATACCTATATAAGGCATATTTATACTTTTTTTTTTTCAAAATACCAAACGGATCATGCATTTTAGCCATGCCTAATTTTGCTCAATTTGACATTTTTTAGCTCTGTTTGTGTAAGGGCAGATTCTGTGAGAACAGCACCATCTACAGGCCTGGCATATGTACTACAGCGTCTCCAGCGCTTTCGAACGGCAATGGCCGTGGCTGTGTCCTCCTGATTGGTGGAGTTGGCCCAATAGCCGTAGCGCCACCGTCCTGACGTCAGGACAGTGTTCAAATCTGGATCAGTTTTTATCAGATCCGTTGCAGCCCCTTTTTTAGAGATTTGGGTATGGAGGAAAATAGAGAGGGTTGTGTTTTCTGACACTTGGTGAGTTCCCTGGAACACCGGGGACACATATTCATGTAGAAAAGACGTACAAAAGTGCATTTTGCATGATAGGTCCCCTTTAATTAATGTAGCACCTTTGACCAAACCAAACCAAAAAGTCAAAGTATACGATGGACCATTCCTGGGTTACACTTCCCCATTACTACTATTAGATAACTACTTAATAAAGGAAGTGAAAAGACGCAAACACACTCTATAAAAGGGCATTTTTAAGTGTAATGCCTGGCGAAAAAACTCTTAACATTTCAACTAGATGTCCTTTTCATAGTGTAGGTTTTAATCCATTACTGATTCAGTCATGATCAGCAGGCGTGATGTACCTCACAAAACACCTATTTGACGAACATTACTCGACAGAAAACACTACATTTAATCAGAAATGGAAAGATACAGGTTAATACGTTCAAATTGATGTGACTATGACGTCTGTAAGGATGCATACATGTCATATTAACTTCATGTACCAGTCTGATTTGCTATCAAAGGCGCACAGTGTAATGAAGCTGTAATATAAAACTTTGTATATTGTGATTGCTATGCGGATGTTTAATTTCTCAGACTTTCCTAAAATAAAGGGCACCGTGTTGTCTGGTAACTAAAGGAAAACTTCCACGGCTTCAGTCACTGTGAAGATAATGACATCTTATTTATCACTTACTAGATTTGCAATTTCACTGCAAAGAAAATAGACGAATGGCAGACGTTGTTTTGTCTTCCTATCAAGCCCCCCCCCCCTGACCTTTTTGTTACCAAGCAAAGTACATGGAGAAGTGCAGCTTGTATGTAAGTTTAAGTGTGCATTCCCTCTTAGCAATAGTTAGTAATGAATAACATCATTTGTCACAAGGATGAGTCAAAGCTTCCTAGTTCCTGATTCCTTTTAGTGGAACAAAAGCACCAGTCTTGTTGGCACGCAAGCTTCAGTTGCTGTACTTTCCCAAAAAAGATAATGGGTCATGATAGTCCGTTTATTGCCATATTTCAACATCTACTGACGGTCTGGTGCGTCATATACCTTCTTTGTTTTGATGAAAGCAACATGAACACATAACCCTCTGTGTTATTATTCATATATTGAGACCTGATTCAGTTTTTAGCTGAACTTTTTATAGGCTTAATAAGTCTTATATATGCTGGTCAGAGTAAATAAAACTCCTCGCACAGTTAAAGAAGTGTGCGATGTACCTCTCGTGTGAAACAAGTGACTTCTATTGCACCAATATTATTTGTT